ATAATTTTTCATATGGAAAAAATGATTTCGAACGATTTTTGCGGATTTTCATAGGCTTTAATTTAAGAAAACTAATGTTTTTTTTCACTAACTTAATTTAATGATTCACTACAATACCAAGTTTTAAAGAATAAACACTCTTGTTGCACCGCAGCCAATCTATCTATATATAAATCTGAATGTGCGTCTGTGTGTGTGTGCATCTGTCGTTTCTTTTAATTCATGGCTCTATATGTTCCGTTTGATCTTTCGCGGCCTTAAAAAGGATCTTCTAAATGCAGTTTGTTTTGATTTTCGTAATAATTCTTTATCAAATGTTTGAAAATATTTTTTTCCATGTTTTCTTATATTAGGAGAAGATGTCCGGTTGTGGGGCGGGTTTTGAAATCTGCGCATAAAAAATGTTCTATCCAATATTTTATGATTACTTTTAATCAACTTATTTTGCACGATGTCTGGAAATAATACAACAAATGCTTCTATTTAGTTCGGAGTTATGCCAAAAGTATGATTACGGATAGAAAACAATATGACAGTTTGGTGGTTTAATTCCGCTAAAATGTCAAAATATTCGACTGTCCCACAACTGGAGATGTTTTCCTATGATTTAATTTATTTTATCTGGAAATGCAGGGTAAGTACATAAAGACGTTTGACAAAATATAAGACAGACACACAAAAATGTTCATTTTGCAATGACGCATAAAATCATCGTCAATGATGCAATATCCAAATGTTTTACATTGTAATAAGTATTTAATGCAACTTGGATATGTGTGGTAATAAGGTTCCTGTTGGCCGTTTTTCGATCGGATACGATGTTAAAATCGTTGACGAAGGAGGCAATTGTTGTGGCATCAATACAGACGGTGAAATTTGTATAAAAACCCCTAACAGATTTCTTGGTTATCATCGAAATAAAGAACTTTCCGACAAAGCCATTGACCACGAAGGTTTTTTCTTAACCGGTAACATTGGATATTTCGATGTAAATGGCAATTTATATATTAGTCGACCGGAAAAAGGACCTAATTTATCATTCGGAGGAGTACATTTCTCCGGATGATATCGAAACCATTGTATACAAATTACCTGGCGTCGAAGTAGTTTGTGTCGTAGGTGTCGCATTTTGCTTTAACTTACTCCGTTCGTGAATTCGTATGCCTGCCACACTGTGCTGCACTGAAATAGATTTCTTTAACCTGGATGATTCTTTATTTGAACGGAAAAAATATATGAATCAATGGAAAGACATCAGTTCGTTAAATGAAAAATCTTAGTCTTTATTTACAAAAGTCAATCATCTTACAATGAACATTCAACAAAATGTAA